CGGCGACGGCGGTTCCTGCTCCGCCGTCCTCGTCGTCGTCCACCGACACGGAGCCTTCTCCGACCAGGGGGAGACGGTTCGACGCGCCGAACGTGGGCGAAGAAAAAGAAGAGCCCTCGGCGGAGGCGGGGGAGAAGGCCGTCGTGGTGTCGACGGCGCCAGCGGTGGCGGCGCCGGTGGCGCCGGCTCCGGCGGTGGCGCCGGCAGCTGTCAAGCCGGTCGAGGCGAAGGGTGCCGACGTTGCTGCTGCTGAGTCACCGGCCGACAGCGTGGCGGCGCCAGCGGAGGCAGTGGAGGATGCCAAAATGGCGCAGGAGAAAGAGCCTCCGCAGGCCGCCGCTGCCGCAGCGGAATCGGCGGCGGCGGTACCGGCGGTACCGGCGGCACCGGCGGCACCAGTGACTCCGGCGACTCCTGCGACTCCGGCGGCTCCGGTAGCTCCCGTCGCTCCCGTCGCTCCCGTCGTTCCAGTGGCGGCGGCGGCGGCGGTGGCAGCGCCTGCGGCGGTGGGGGGGCAGAACTGGGCGCCGGTGCACGGAGGCCCGGAAGAAGCAGCGGCCGAGGCGAGCGGGGAGAGCGCGCAGCCGGCCGCTACCGCTACCGCTGGGCCGGGGACAACGGCGCCGCCGGCCGCGGCGGGCTGCGTCGATGGGCAGGCGGCCGGGGTGCCGATGGATGTTTCGGGCCCGAGCTCCTCCCCGGCTGCTAGTCAGATCCCGGCTGTCGCTTCTTCTGTCGGGTGATGGCGGTAGTAGATGTGCACCGCTGTTGTCGCTCTCCCTTTTGTTGGACATCCGCCGTTCGGCGTACGAATACGGGGCATATTGCGGTTTTCCCGCGAGAGCGAGAGGCGGTTGGTACGCAAGTCACGCACGAAACGTTGTGAGTTTGCCGTTTGTTTTTTTTTGCCGCAGCGGCACGGCGCGGCCGGTTGTTTTTATGAGAAAATGATGAATGAAAGACGCAGCGCGAACGGGTCGGCAGTGGTGTGGGGTGGGTACGGAGGAGGAGGAGCTGGGGGGGGGAGGAGGTGGAGGTCTAACTCTGGGAGTACAAGAGAGAGACCAGATTACGGTCCCAAACGTGGATGGATGTCTCGCACCAATAAGCGCGAAAAAAGGAAGGGACTCAAATCTTGTAGACGGCATTTGTTGCTTCCCTTGTTTGCATACGGGTGCTCGGTTCGGCAACAGCAGCTAGCTATCGGTGCCGGTGCTTGCGCCGGGCAAACACCTCCGTTTTCTGTTTTGGGTTCCTGGCTGCCTGACCGACCGGCTGTGCGAGGAGGACCAGGGGGGTGGTGTATGTCGGCGATCGTCTGCTGTTCGGTGGTGTATAGAGTGGGTCCTCTTTGGCCATATGCCGGTGCTGTGGTTTCTGCTTCGCTCGTGCGTGTAGGCGCTGGCTGGCCTCACGCCCACGTATACCGGGGAACGCCGTCGTTGTATCGTGTTAGCGCCGATGCTGCTGCTGCTGCTGCTGCTGCTCTTGAAAGTACGTGGTCGTTTTGACCCCTGCGTTTTCTTTGTGCGCAGTCAGTCCAACCTCCCTGCGCACCCGGCGGGTTTTTCTCGCGCACCAAACAAGCCTTAGCTGCGTGCCCCCGAATAGCGGATGGCTCTCTCTCTCTCTCCCTCTTGGAAGAGAGCCTTCGGGGCTAGATCTACGAACGCGTGCAAATTGCCACGAACTCGGGAGTACTTGTAGGGGGGCGCTGCCGTGTTGCGACGAGTCTAGAGTAGGGGGGGGGAGGGGTGTCGGAGAGAATTGTAGGTGGTCGAGCGTAGCGGCGCATCTTCCGCTGGGGGGAGGTTGCGAATTGGCTACAAGTAGGTGCCAGTATGTCCTTAGGGCTCCGGCGTTGGTGACAATGGCGTCGCGTAGAATATATTAGTGAGGGGTGGGATGGGCTTGGGTGCGCCCTTGAGAAAGCGGTCAGCCAAGGTTTTGGTTGGTTGGGTTGACTGATTGTCCCAGCGGGTAACGTTCTCGCGGGCAAGGGCGTCATTTTACACCAGCCATTCTTCCTCAGATTCCATTCACACCAAACAAACATGGGAAAGACTGAGGCCACAGGGAGAAGGACAGGAGGGGAGAGCAGTTCTCCGAGTGGTTGTATACGGACGGCGGGGGGGGGGGCAGGAACTATTTGTACGTGCTTGGGTGGCTTTGGGTTTGGTTTGTTGTCTGGTTTGCGGCGGATTGATTGTCCTCTTGTTGTGCTTTTCTCGGTTGTTTCTGCAAATAGAAATTCGCTTGCCTTGTGCGTTCGTTTCTATACCTGCCATCGATTGCGTCTTTTTTTTTGTGTGTACAGCTGCTGCTCTTTTGTCGAAAGGGGCAGATAGTGTCGTGCATGGATATTGTTACCCAGTACAGCCCGAAAGGAAGGTGCAATTGCATGCATGCATGCCTTCGTACGGAGGAAAAGTGCCAACCCCTTGCCCCCCCCCCCACCGAGTTTTCCTCGGTAGACGCTCTGGCACTTGCTGCCCTGACTTCCCTAGAGAGGGCCAGGTGCCAGCGACGATCTGGTTGTTTAGTTTGTATTGCTGCTGCTTTTGTTGATGTTTTTTTCTTCTGACAGGGGGGGGAGGGAGGGGCGAGCTAAGCGTTTTTGGGGGCGTCTTGCAAGTAGGGTTGGGCTGGCGTTTTCACCTCCAGCGAAGGCAGGCAGAGATTCTACTGCTGTGTATCGCGACGAGCTTGTTGCTGGAGAGAAGAAAGCTAAGACTATTTTGTTTGGTATTTGTTGTGGTTAGATTTGTTACGGGAGGGCCATCGTTGAAGAACGATCCGCGGGGTTGTACGCAGTACGAGCGCATGTTGTATGGCGGGTCAAAAGGGAGAGAGGGGAGCAAGGAAGGACGCAGAAAGTAGTACGTAAAATATTGTCTAAAACGTTTTTTGCCCAAATTGTCCAGAAGGAGTTCAGGCATCTCGTTGAGAGATACCACACCTTTGATCTCATGTTCTACCAGAAACTTAGGGGTATTCGTAAGAATTGAACACTGTACGTTCACGATTCGGCCGCATGGACGAACGCTACGTTTTGTGGAGTCTGCTGCCCCCCCTACGTTACACAGAAAAGTGGCATGCCCACACGACTACTACGTCGTGCATAGTGGTTGGGGACACGGTTCCTTTCTCCGCTTCCCAGAAAAAGGATGCACCACGAGTATTATTATCGAGACTACGGTGTGGAGGCTGTCGGCCTTCATTCAATCCCGTTCACGCTACCATACGTCGTATCGCACGTCATTCACTCTTCGTATCTACCCTGCTCGCTCGAATGACGCCTGGCAGAGGTGGTGAACACACAGTGATACATAGGGTTCTCACACACAGGAGAAGAAAGCTAATAACAATGAAAGCGCCACCGACTTTTTTTTTTCTGGCGACAATAAAGCAAGGCTAAGGTGACAACGACGATCATGGTCGCACATTCACTGCTGGTCTTCCTCGCTTCACTTCACTTCACTTCCCCCACGGCGCGTTCTTCGGCCAACGAACTTGTACATCTCTGCGCGACGACATACTATACATACCATCGCAGCAAAGACGTGTTTGTCGCGGTTTGATAGGGGCGTAAAAGACCATGCATGCATGCATAACAATAGCGGAAAGCGTGGTCCAGAGTGCCTACAGGGACACATCATCACCGACGACCCCAACGGCATCAGCGCGTGCGCGCATCTCAGAGTTCGCACAGATGTGTAGACCGAAGGATACCAGTACGTTGGATCCAAATCTTGATTTTGACAGCTCAAAAAGTACCCTCTGTCATCCACAGACAGACCTCGCGCAAGCCTCCTCCGCACGTTGTTGGCGGGGACTGCTAGACAATAGCATCAATAGCATCAGATAGATAGGTCCGAGGAGGCCTCGCCAGAACAATTTCCCTTCTCCTTGTACTTGGGTGTCTATCTTCCGTCCGCGCTGAATCTGGCGAGTTGTGTTCGGCCCTACCGCCGCCCTTTCCTCTCGCGGCACCGCCTCGCCTGCATGACCGCGCCCCAAAAGACTCACACGTATCCACCCTAATTTCTAGCGTGTTACACTCCTGGATACACGTCCAATTTCCCGACGGAAAAAATGCCATCACACCAAGAGCTGACGCGCTGCCGAAGGTTAGGTTGCCACAACAACACAAAACAAGGGCTGTGACCTTGCGAAACCAACCGCCGTCCGTTCCCGGACAGTCCAAGCAAGCCCCCCCCTCTGCTCGAAGCGTTCACGCCTCTACGTGTACGAGGAACTACCCTTTCGTAGGCCGCTGCTCTTGTTGCTGGCCAGGTTGGTCTGTGCCTCGCCTCGCCCCTCTAACTTTTCGCAGGGGGCGGGGGGGGGGGGGGGGGGGGGGGGGGGGCAAAAAAACCCCCCCCTTTTTTTTTTTCCCAAAAAGGGGGGGGGCCAAAAAGGGGGGGCGAAAACCCCCCCCCTGGGGGGGAAACCGGGCAAAAAGGGGGGGGGGGGGGGGGGTTCCTTGCGCGGGGGGCCAAAAAAACAAAAAAAAAAGGGTTGGGGGCAAAAAAAAGGGAACCAAAAAACCCCCCAAGGGGTATTATGGGTCCCAAAATTTGAAAAAAAGGGGGGGGGGGGAAACCCCAAAGGGGAAAAAACCCTTGTTTTTTTTTTTGGGGGGGGGGGGGCCCAAAAAAAAAAAAACCC